AATAAACAAATTTGAATTGTCAAAATAATAAATGTATTCACCTGAATGGAAATTGACTAGTATAGCTATATACAACATTTGATGTGACAGCAAAGAGATCCATGCAAACATTTACCAAACTAATTCCAACAGCACTTTTGCTTTGCCATACTTTGATCACTTGTGGAAGTTTAACTGAAAATCAAATAATATTTATTAATTTTTTAATGCTAAACCTTAATGACATTAAAATTATATTTTTGCATAGTATAGTTATGTAGTTATGTAAATTTTTTTTTACCTGTAGTATATAATATATATGAAATATTTTATTTTTATACTTTACACATAACCTTATAGACAATATTAAGTTATACTAATTCATAACAAACAGTTATATAATAATACATAAATTAGAGTTAATGAATAATGATTATCACCTAAAAGAGATCCACCAACTATTCCGAATCCAAGACATTTACTGAGAGCAGATCTTATACAAGTACCTGAAAAAAAAAGATAATATTAATGTTTAGTTTAGAATTGAAATAATAGTATTTTATAATAATTATTCTATAAAAAGTTATTTTAAACTCTTACAAATACACATTATCTTAAACTAAAATATAGTTATTAATATAAATGCAAATATAAGTAAGAGAGATTACAATAATTATTCTGTAGATTACATTTGAATAGTATTCATTTTATGTAGTTGTAAAGTGTTTAGTTGTCCCATGATCATAATTCARCAATGAAACAAATCTAATATAATTTTTAAAAAGTTTATAATTTGAATTCTCAAACAAATATAATTATAGCTATTAGACAATCATAACTGACTCAAGTTCGCCTAGATATTCATTCTAAAATGATAAAATAATTTAATAGCCATGATTATAGCTTACGAGTAAGATAAAAAATATAAATATTAACTATCTACCTATGTAGTAGGCACCTATAGTAAATAATAATAATAATCTAGGTACATAATAATTTTCCATCAAAAACATATGTGACTAGTTATTTTAATTTAAGATTATAAAAGAAATTATAAAATAATCAGTAAACAATCTTTGTATGTAATGATGATTAGTAAATACATACAAATATCCAACAAGATGGGTATAAATAAGCATAAATATTAAATGTATAATCACTGTATATTGTATAATGTCATGATGACTRTACAAATAAACACCTTAACCATGGCGTGAGAAACTGATTATGCTCACACAGTTATCGGATAAATATATTGATCAGTAATAAACTAATAATATAGTAAAAAAAATAATTTTATTTAGAGTGTTTGCAAACATAAAAAAATATCACAATCGAGACACTAGCTGTATGGTTGATAATAATTGTAACACACTTACCGTTGAAGAAATCCAAATCGTAGAAAAACACTTGGTAGCATTTGGGCGTGAGGACGAGCAGGGCGATCCGGTGAAACAGCTCAGCGAACGGATTCATGTCGAGAGAGCTGTGGAGCTGCACTCTGCCGTTTCGGCAAGACAGGGGACTATATCCAACGAAGGAACGTTTTGATTGATCAGAGCTGAGGGAGCGTGARAAAAATGGACGTTAGTCGTCGATGTAGGACGCTTTGCCTTTTTGCCTGCTTGACGGAGAACACCGGTTAACATGGGCCGGCGACCGACGCGGTAACAGTTCACAGCTCACGGCTTTTGAGCGGTATGTGGAGGGGGGGCGTACTTAGGACCGAAAAATAAAAAAAGGGTAAAGACGACAACAGGAGCAGCGCGCGCCGCTTAATGAATAATGCAAGATAAGTTTAGATGACGCGAGCAAGCGACCGGCAACATC